ATATGATGACTCCTCTTCAAAGGCTCCTCCTCTTACCATGTCTTCATCGACTTCTGCATCTTAAGCCATTGGTTTCCAAAAGGGTCTGCTTCCAAAGACTTGTGCCTAGCTAAACTCACTGGCCCTTTCGTAGGGTGGTTGCACATCCGCTTTTTACAGAGCGCAGTCCTCTATTTGAAGGGCTGCCTCGTCCAAGTCTGGTTTGAAGATAATAATTGGAAGAAGAGAGGGAGCAGAGGACTCCAAGTTGCTCAGTAGCTATTGAGAATATAAGGAGACCTTGCAGGCATGTGAAGGCTCTCCCAGACTACAGTGGTACCTCAGGTTAAGAACTTAATTCATTCTGGAGGTCCGTTCTTAACCTGAAACTGTTCTTAACCTGAAGCACCACTTTAGCTAATGGGGCCTCCTGCTACCGCCGCGCCCCTGGAGCATGATTTATGTTCTCATCCTGAAGCAAAGTTCTTAACCCGAGGTACTATTTCTGGGTTAGCAGAGTCTGTAACCTGAAGCGTATGTAACCTGAAGTGTATGTAACCCGAGGTACCACTGTATTGCTATTTTCAGGTGGGATTCAATCACATGCCAGCAAGCTCAGCTTGTACAATTATACGTAGAGGTTAGGAGACACAGCTGCTATGGAAAACTGTGCTTGTTTGCCCTTCTTTATTATGTGTAAGTGGTTTCCCTACATTCTGACATACGTTTTGCACTCTGGGGGACTCTGTGCAGCATGTCTTTTCTTCCTGCACTCTGGGGGTTCATTGGGAAGGCAATTGCGGCTTAGTTCTTTTCCATGCCTGTATCATGGAAAGCGAGGGAAGGAAATTCTTTGTGGGTTCCTCTCACACGTTCTGACTTCTGGTTTATGGTGTGGGAATAAATGATACTACAACAGCTCTCACACGATAACCTCAGAGTAGGCCCTTTTATTGTCTTTCTGCACTGGAAGCAACAACAGTAAGTTACTTCCTAGAGTTGGAGGTAAGTGTTCTCTCTATGTCAGACAAATGCAACCTGAGAGGAGTAGTTGGTCACAGCCATACAGCACATGACTTCCCGTGGAATCCTGGGAGCTGTAGTTTAAGGGTGCTGGGAATTGTGGCCCTGTGAAGGATAAACTATGGCTCCCGAGATCTTCTGAGGGAAGCTATATGTTTTAAATGTGCTTTAAATGTATGCTGTAGAGGTGACCATGATGTAAAGCTCTAAGGAAATTGTTTGTGCTACTTGAAGAAGAAGAAACAGCAGCTGCAGTGACCAATGGGATGGGTGTGTGGAAATGTCATTTATAAGAGACAGCGTTATGGTACAAAAGTTTATTTAGTAACAGTTTTGTAAACATTTGAGGTAAATGAACATGGACACCAAATGGTTCTCACATAATTAATCCACAAGGCACTTCTTCAAAGACAGCACTTGGAACAGTTTGATGCTTTTGGCGTGATTACAAGTCCCTGACTGCCCAGAAAATTCTCTCCTTCCTTCTTGGGAGGTTCGGTGATGTCGAAGGACACGTGTACTTCGAGCGACATAAATGAGTAAACCTTCTGATGCAATCCGATTCTCCAGTGGAAATACATTGTGTTAAGAGGGAATATATCTTCTGCTTCAAAATTGCACACACTTATTTCAAATGCAGTAAGCCCGCAATTTACACAGGGGTTACATTCTGGAGGTTGCACCTAAAGCCAGAATCACATATAGTCAAAACTCATTGGAGTCAACGATGAGTGGGATTACTAAAAGTCTTTCCCCACCCTGGACACCACCCCCCTTTTATTTTTTACTTTTTTCCCCGGTACATAAAGCTGAATGTGTTAACCATGCGTAAGTTATGGGCTTACTGTATACCAACAGTTGTGAAATGCCAGAAATCAAAGAGTATCATAACTAAACATTTTTTTAAGAAATCCACACCTGCATAGCCGTGTCTGTCTCATGGGAATAATTTATACTTATGCAAAAGGTTTTACAAGAAATATCTCTGTGAGCAAATAAAACTGGCATGTTGTTCGTAGCAAGGAAACAAAATCTTCCACATGGGAACAATGCAGAGATTCTAAGACAAAAACAAGAACCCAGGACGGGGCTGTTGCTTCAAATGATAGTGGCAACTTGTCCCGTAACGGCTGGACCCTGAACATACATATACGTTCCATTAATTGCAAATAAACTTTCACATATGGGCTTCAACGCTTATCACGAAATTCCCACACAGGGGACTTGTGGGAAGGCACATGTAAATCACAACTTGAGATGCATGCATCCTAACTATTAACATAGCATTATTGGTGCTTTAGAGAGGTGCATAGGGAAGAGAAAGACAGCCCCTGCTTCCAAGGAGCTTACAATCTAAAATAATGGGGAAGCGGAGGTGGGGGGTGGGAAGCAGACGAGAAGGGAGAGACAAAGGTGGGAATTATGTTATGCCCTACATGGGATATTCCCATTATGGTCTGCTTGTGGAATTAACACAAATTCCTTCAGGAAAATTCAATGTCTGGATTTCGTCCTGTTAGGCTGTGATCCTGAGCACACTGATACACCAGCTACACATGTCCATTCAAAGGCAGCATTCAGATACAGCATAGGATGCCTTTTCTCTATAACCAGGCCTTTGCCCTTTAACTATCTGTGGCCTTTTAGAAGTGGGTGGGGTGTTTTTAATCCATTTCTATCCCCCCCAGGGGTTTTAATGTATCTATGGTGGGGGGGTGTTTGTTTGTTTGTCATGTTGAGTTGCCTCGTGCAAGATAAAGCAACCCACACACTTAATAAAATAACAAATGGATAACAATCTACATGTCACAGAGGTGGATCTGAGTTCTAAATAACAGATAGCCCTGAACAACTGCAGTACGACATGAAGGGGCAGAGGCAACTTCAAGGGGAGAAGGAGCAGGAGGGATGGGTGAGTGATGAACATTCCTCTGCTGCCCCCCTCATCTCCTCTGTTCACTTATTCCCAACTTATTCTCTATTGTCTTGGAGCCTACATGGGGGGGGGGGTGGCTGGACTGGTGGACTTACTTGGGAGCATCTGCTTGGCATGCAGAAGATTCCAGGCTCAACCCCTGGTATCTCCAGGTATGACAGTGAATGTCCCCTTTCTGAAAACCTGGACGCTGCTGCCAATCAGTGTAGACAATACTGATCTAGATGGACTCGGCATAAGGAAGCTTCCTATGCTGCCATCTTTCCTAGTTTGAATCTGCCCCCATCTTGCTACTTTACCTACGTTGGGTGCAACCAATCTTCTAAAACACAGCTCTGCTTCTGTCGTGAATAGTTTGAACAGTTTCACATGGGATTCCCATTATTGCTCAAATTGTAGGCAGCTTGCAATGACAATTGGTGGTGGCTCTGGTAGGGCTGTGCATCCCCACTTACAACAAATGACACTTACAGATGGTTCAATAGGGCTCAGATGAACACCATAATATGGATAGAGTTGTCTATCCAGCTACACATTCCCATGAACAACACACTGAAAATAATTTCCTTGCACAAATCTCTCGCTGCTTAGGGCAATGAAGTTTCTCTCAGACAGTTACTATCCCCAACACCTCTGTATGTGGGAAAACATATGTAATGATGTACATGTTTGAAAAAAAACACTATGAATACACATGACTGGAGGAGCAGCTTCCTGCTGTGAAACAAACACATGTGAGATACAGTTTTTGTACATGACTCTTCTGTTTAGGGCGGGGAAACCCACTGTGTGAAGGGGCAATAATTTAATGTAAACTTCAGGAAACCAAATGATGAACAGAGCACACATTTCACAAGGAAGAGAATCCAGAGGACCTAAAATTATGTATATTTAAATACCCACCAGGATTTAAAAGTCAATAACATAATCAGCACACTAATAAGCAAAAAGAGATCAAACTGAAAAAGGTCCTAAAATACTGTTTCTATATCTATCATCTATCTGTTAATGACCATTTTTGGGGGCTAATATGCTCCTAATCTCCCTTTCCTCTTTATAGTTTTGCCAAAACATGTTACAAGATATTTCAGTGACCTGAATTAACTTGTGTCTTACAAGATGTTAAAATGGGCTGCATCTTTTTTTCCTTCCATGTGTAGCTTCATTAACTTTGTGGGTAGCCTGGTGCCGATGCAAGGACTCCCTTGGCTTCTGATCAAAGCGGGCACAACTTTTTTTTGTCTCTCCACTACAAAATTGGGGAGGGGGAGAGCTGTGTGCTGATTAAAGGCTCCCTTGGAGGGGAGATATTCCCACTGTTGTCCATAGTAATTCTTAAGCATCCTGCTGCTGTTGGTGAACTAAAACAAACAAACCCAAACCCTTCTAGATATTATTACATTGCTTTCCCCATGCTTGATCACCTGGGAGAAATGTCCCAGTGGGGAAATCCCACCAATACATAGAGTACCAATGATGTTTATTAGCATAACTTGCAAGGGCAAGCAGGGAGCAGGGGATTTCCTATGTTTCTTTGACAGGAAGGGGAGCAGGGTGTGAGAAATTTGGCAGTGGCAAAGACATGAGTCAGCCAACATTGCATATACTTCCAGTCAAAGGATATTTTAAAGTCTTACAGCTTCACTCTATGCCTGAGTATGTTGGTTTGCATCCAGTGGAAATTACCTGCAGGAAGGTCTACAAAGATCGGTAGCGGAATAACACAATTTTTAGACCAGGGATGGGGAACCTGTGGCCCTGCAGATGTTGTTTGACTCCAACAACCACCATTCCTGGTTACTGGCCCTATTGGCTGGGGGAGTCCAAAAACATCTGGAGCGACAGAGGTTTCCCAAGCCCTGTTCCAGCAATTATATATAATTTAAGTTCCATTGAAGTACAGTGGTGCCCCGCAAGACGAAATTAATTCGTTCCGCAAGTTTTGCCGTCTAGCGAATTTTTCGTCTTGCGAATTATTATTTAGACAAAGGAAACAAAGTCGCGAGACGTTTTCGTCTTGCGAAGCAAGCCCATAGGGAAATTCGTCTTGCGAGGCAACTCGCAAACGGAAAAACCTTTCGTCTAGCGAGTTTTTTGTCTTGCGAGGCATTCGTCTTGCGAGGTACCACTGTAGATACAGTTTAAGGAAAGCAAATCGTGGCCTGTGCTTCTGGTATGCTGCTTATGAATGATGTACCTGTCAGTGGGATTTAAAAAGAGAGACAGTTTCAAAACAACATATGAGCATATGAATGTCACTTTTTCACTTGATTAATTGGAACACTCAGCTTCTTAAAAGTCACATGTGAAAACACCCTTATATACATACTACTTTGAGAAACCTCTTCCAATATTGAGCCCCCCCCAAAAAAGCTACAAGAGTTAATTGTCACCATACTCTCTGTTTTGTTTTAACGACAAAAAAAACCAAGGTAAATGAACATATTTACAACAGGATATGTTGTTTTCCCCAGCAGATGTTTCTTGAACTAATTGCTTTCTAAGTTGGTTGAAATATTTTAATTGAGGTGTTTTCTTGGTATTCAAGAATTGAACCCTTGCTCCTATTCTGCTTTTGGTTCTTACTTGTGCTAATACTCTATGGCCTATGTGGATGTTATCTCAGTAAAAAGTAAGAAATACTGGTATCTGATGCCAAAGCATTTCTCTATATCCTTCCAAGAGAGATGGAATTTATTTTAGTGAATTTAGAACAAGGCCTAGTTTGCAGTCCTACAACACTCCCCTGGGAGAAAGTCATATTGAACTCAGTGGGTCTTACTTTTGAGTTGGAATGCATAGGAGATAGTATATTAAAAAGCTTGGCATACAAAGCAATCTTTTAAGTAAGGCTTGGCCCATGTGGCCAAAGCAATAAATAAATGATGCTATAATAAGTTATTATTATTATTATTATTATTATTATTATTATTATTATTATTTTGCAGATACCTTTAACATTACTTGGAATGTGGGCGGCACAGGGAATTATCAGGGAGCCTAGGAAATCGTGAGTCAAATTCCATTCCAAGCTGTTAATTTACTCCTTTCCTGGGTGCCTTCCTAGAACAGGAACAGCACTCATTAAATAGAAAACCAGGCTAACTTTGGAAAAATCACTCTATTCCTTGAGATACGTGAGTACAGTGTGTACAAAGAACATTGAAGCAACTATCTTTCCCCCTTTTCATTTATTTATTGAAATAAGATATATATAGTGCTACCTTGGCTATTCGTTTTGTGTTACATTTCAGACAATATAGTATAAAAAGAAAAGAAGAGGCAAACTGAGTACAATTCTGTTCTCATTTCTGCTTAGACAAGCCTGTTGACTTAATGCTGGCGTCAGCAACACTGCATATGCAACCCCGAGAGCAGAATGCCATCTATCATGATATATTAAGGCACTGCTTAGATGCCTTTAAAAGGGGATTAGACAAATCCACGCAGAATGGACCTATCAATGGCTATTAGTCATGATGGCTATAGGGGTACATCCAGATTCAGAGGCATCAGGGAATGCAATTCGATGGTGGACCAACTGGGAGTGAGCATCCGATTGGTTGCTTTGGGAAGCAGCATGCTAGACTAGATAAAACTTTTGGTCTGATCCAGACATTCCGGGCCGTATCTAATGCTGCCGTTCCACTAGCACAGCAGATTTCCAAGTCTGCAAAAGATCACCCCCCCTCCTCTCCCCTGCAGCCCCTCCAGAGCAGTTTTGGGGACAGGCAGAGAGAGGAGTGGAAGGGGAAATCCCACGTGATCGGAACTCTCCCCCCCCCACTGTCGGATACAACCCACTGTCTTTAAATCTTCCTCTGGTTTAGGTTGCAATCGTATATTGGCTCGCTTGGAAATAAGCCTCATTGAACTCAGTGAGGCTTACTTCTGAGCAGCCATGTGCCACGTTGCACTGTTAATTGATAGCACAGTGCACTTCACTTAATGACTTCAAAAAATGACATCTTTAGTCTGGAATAAATGGATTCAGATAGTGGAAGACCAGTTGCCGCTTAGTCAAATAGACATCAACATTTCTAAACAATAAAGTGGTTGAATGTGATTTAAATATATGAGAAAAGCAAACATGTACTTAAGAAATACCAGATAAAGCAGTTTTACACTGCACATTAGGCTTTGATCCAGACAAAGTCGGTTGCGCTTAGGTCCTGTTGAGATCGATGAGGCTAGCTGCAAATAACAAGACCAATGGATTTCAAAGGTACAGTACTTAAGCACAATCAACTTTCTGTGGTACAGGGCCTAATTTTTCATTTTGGACATTTTTTTTATGCTGGAAATCAAACAGAAGCCAATTCCCATTTGTGAAAATGACCAGAGTCAATACAAATTGTATATCTTTATACAATAAAAAGATAAAACTAAAGAGCTAAGTGCACTGCCACATTAATTTGAAATACATAGGTTATTTTTAAAATCTTCAGGTGTGCACTGTAGTTTTAGTCTTTCAATTTCACTGTTTATTACTTTTGCCAAATACATTTTACAACAGCAGACCCCCCCAAAAAATCTCTTTTTAGGTTGAGATTGTAATCTGCTGCTTATTCCACTGAAATCAAGTGTTTCTGCCTCTTTTTAGCTCAGTTGTGCCCTCACTATTTCCCCTAACTAGCTCAAAAATATTTAGCCACCTAAAATGCACAGTCCTAGTTCATCCTACAATTTTGTTCACAATAGGCATAAAATACTGGAACAGTTTCTTTGCTTTTCTGGGTTAAAAGCCAAAGTGTGTCATATCTTAAGATGTGTGTGCTTTACGTTATTGTTCTTGCATTTATAGTTTCAGAAGTAATTTCAAGAAAGGTAACCAAAGGTTTAAAAATACATAGATTTAAAATGTGTCTTCATGGTTTGGAAACACTTGTGTAGAATTTCAAGCTTGACACTTCCTCACAGATTAAGAGCCAAAAAGAAAAGAATGGAAATAAATGAAAAAATGAACACTTCAGTCTACAGCAGGGGGTCAGTACAGACCCATTAGAAACTGACAATTTGTGAAGAGCAGAAAGCTGCCTTAAATTAACTGAAGACACCTTAACCTGCTTTTGTTTTAATTGTGGCTCTTTGACCACGAAGGGGAAAGATGATCTGCAGTTACCTTCAGGGCTGACCCTATCATTAGGCAGAGTGAGGCAACAGCCTCAGGTGGCTGATGCTGAGGAGCAGCAGGGCCTTCTATTGGAGGTCAGAGATGTGTGTGCCACACAGTCTTTCCTGCATCCCTTAAACTAGTTTGCTGCCCTAAGATGTTGGGGAGGATGCTATCCCATTGGCACCATTTTAGTAAGATTCAACTGCTAGTCTAGTCAACTTCTGTATGTAGAGTGGGAGATGGGCACCATCTTGTCCTTTGCCTCAGGCAGCAAAATGGCTTGGACTGGCTTTGGTGAGCTTCAGGTTTATGGAAGTGAGGTGAACAGGAGGAAGAAACCCTCTTACTAGAACTAAATGTGAGCCTGTGAAAGGAACTGGAACTGGGATGAGGGGCAGAATGAGATGACAGATGACGACAAGGACTAAGCGTTGCTTGTTGGGATATGTGATTACAACAGCACGTTCTCATTTGCTGCTAGCACCCATAATCTACGAAGGCCTCTTTTCCTCTCACGTGATCTGGCTGCTATTGGTCCCTTGGCCGGTGGGCTGCGCTTTCGCCACCCCCAACCTATTAGAAAACGTTGAAGTTTGTCCCGCCCCCGCCCTCACCACCACTACAACCCACAGAGTGCAAGAACTGCAAGCTTCAAAGTTTGGGATCTTGGCCTCCCCTATCCCCTTGTCCTGGGGTTAAGCCTCCCTACCCCCCAGAATAGTTCCCCTTTACACTTTGCTACCTTCATCTTCTTATTCCTCCCAGCGTAGGGGATCCAGTTACACGGTCAAGTCATCAGACCTGGCTCTGCTGCTGCTCGATTTACTAGCCCTGCTCAAGCGACGTGTGTCTATGAGCAGCGGTGGGTCGTGCATCTCCACCAAGGTGCAGGCAGCCGACATAGAGGACCCTTCCTCTTCCCCTTCTCCATCCCACTTGCTGCCACTTCCCCCACTCAGGCTGGTACTCAGGCTGCTGCTGTTGGCGGCAGCCACAGGCGACAGAGAAGGTGGAGGCGGCGGGTGCTCTCTGGGCTCCCCTTGCTCCGGGTGAGGTTGTCGGAGGCTACTGGGGGTGGAGGAGGCAGCTGAGCTGGAGCCTGCGAGTTTCCTCTGCTGCTCGACGGCCAAATTGGCCCAGTTGTGCTCATCAGCCAGTGCTTGGCTACTGAAGTAGGAGTTGTTGACGGGCGAAGGTGAAGGGATAGACGATGTGGTTGCGACTGGGGTGGAGACTGCCGTGTGCCTGAGGGCTTTGTGCCTGTCCTCGCCGGCCAAAGGACCCCCTGGGTAGCCAGTCAGAGAGGTTGCAACAGAGGCCGGCTGTGGCCTGGAGGTAACGTCCGCGTAGTGTGGCAACCCAGCTTGCTGATAAACCAGCGGGGTGATGGTACGAGTTTCAGGCATGGTGATGGAGGTCGCGGTTGGTGGTGCTGCAGGTACCGGCAAGGCTGCGTGGGAGGCAGGTTTGGAGTCCTCCACTTCTGAGGCTGGCGTGACGGGGGTGAAGGCGGGTGCTGCATGGCTGCGTCTACTGGTCATGCCCTGCTTGAATTTTTTCCATCCCAAGTGGTACATCTCAAACATGTTGAGGAGCAGAGAGAGGCAGGCCACCGCCAGCATGAAGATGATGAAGATGGTCTTCTCCGTGGGCCGCGAAATGAAACAATCTACAATGTTCGGACAGGGCCAGCGGCCACAACGGTAGAGTGGCTTCAACTCAAAACCGTAAAGGAAGTACTGGCCCAAGATAAAGGCTATTTCAAAGAGAGTTTTGAAGATAATGTTGAAAACGTAGGTGCGCAACAGGGCACCTGCCATGCGAATCCTGCCATGCTCATCGCGGACAGGTAGTTTCTCTTCTTTCTGCTTTGGCGGCTGCTTGTCGTTGCTGCCGCTGCTGTTCTCGCCGCTGCCAACTTCCGCTTTTGATCCTTGCAGGAGGCGGCTTGCTTCCCTGCCGTTTCCGGTTTTCCTAATCTCTTCTTCCTTCTCTTTTTTCTTTTCCTCCATGCGCACAATGTGGAGCACGTGACCCAGGTAGATGAGGGTCGGAGTGGAGACAAAGATGATCTGCAGCACCCAGAAGCGGATGTGGGAGATGGGGAAGGCTTCGTCATAGCAGACGTTCTCACAACCAGGTTGCTGGGTGTTGCATGTAAAATCTGATTGTTCATCTCCCCAGACCTCCTCAGCAGCCGCCCCCAGCACCAATATCCTGAAGATAAACAGTACCGTCAGCCAAACTTTGCCAATAACTGTGGAGTGCTCTTGCGCATTCTCTAATAGTCTCCCCAGAAAGTTCCAGTCACCCATTGTTTCAGCTCTCTAACCTACAATAAGAACATTACGGCAGCATTATTACCAAAAATTAAATAAAAAATCCCTGAGAAACTTGTAAGCAATCCCCCCTCAAACCACACTCAGGCATTTCTGTGCAAGGCAGTGTTTTCACAATAATGCATTATTATCATCAGTAAGAGTGGCAACATATAATCTAGGATATTAGGCTGAAAAACAATAAATTCATGATTTGGAGCTTTCGATTACAAAGGGACTGTATCACAGAAAATAGGTAAACATATAACGAAGGGCAAATTATCACTCATAGTAGCTCAGGAGGTGGGTGGTAGTTGGAAATCACTACGGCTGAACCTTCACATATAAAAATAACTCTGTAAAAATGCTTTACACAAAAAAACAACACGTTTAAAAATATATATTGAATTTGCAATTAGCTCACCATTGCCATCTAGTGTCACATTTGTATACTGCACTTAAAACGTTATATTTGCAGGTGTACAGCTGAGTCCTATGTACACAGTAACTAATGTGGGCCTGGAGTGCCCAGACAGACACATTTTATCAGAGTGATCTTAACAGGACAATTCTCAGTATCAAAGAATTTTAACTTGAGTGCATCTCCCTGCCCCCCCCCGACTAGTAGTCAGTAGTACATTCCAGAAACATTTTTACCATGTGGTCAGCTGTATGTCTAGATGGAAGTCTTTTGGGAACTAAGGCTGGAGCTCTTCACAGAATTACATCTTTGAACTTTCACATGAGCCCTTCAGGCCTCCCAATTAGACTCCCTGGAACACATGAGCTAATTGTGGGCTATACTCAGAATGGTGTTTCGCTAACAGTAGATTCTGTGCTCAATTCAACAATTTGTCTCAAGAAGGGCCTGCAATAACAGGTTGCTGTGTAGAGCAGTGGTTTTCAACCAGTGTGCCGTGGCACCCTGGGGTGCCTTGAATGGTGGTCAGGGGTGCTGTGGGCAACACTGCCCTCTGTCCCTCTTTCCTTCCCTCCCTCCTCTGATGCCCTCTGGCATCTCTGCCTCCCAAAGGCTTGCACAGCTGTTTGTTGCAGCAGCCCTGGCTACAAGCTTCCCCAGGCAAATGGTGCCTCTGGGGCTGGTCAGGGGGTGCTGGTTGCCAGGAGCTGAGGCAGCCTCGGAGTAAACAAGTAAGGAGACAAGGCAGCCTAGCCAGCCAGTCCACCGGCCCTTGTTGTTGGGAATGGGCAGACAAGTGCCAGGGGCAGTGTGAGGAGGCACCTCTATTTGGGGCATGGGAGGCAGCTCTGAGACCAGGGGTGGCAGCAGCGGCTGCCCAGAGGACTCTCAAGGAGAGGGGAGAGGAGGCTGAGGGAACACTTCATAAGGGAGAGTGTTCTAAAAGGGGTGAGGGGCTGCCAGTTCTGCAGGCAAGGGGTGACATCACTGGGCTCCTGAGCCCCACAGGGGTGCCACAGAAAGAGTGTAGTTGGTCAAGGGAGCTGCGGACTCAAAAAGGTTGAAAACCTCTGGTATAGAGTTTTCAAGGTTCCAGCCAACCAGCTGTATGCCCCTTTCCAGAATACTCCATTCCACCAACCCTATATTTCGGTTTCCCACCCCAACAGTCCGTCAGCTTTCCATTGGCGCTGAAAGTGTTGCATCCTTATTTAGCTGTTTGGGGGGGGGGGGTTCTCTTCCCACTGCAGATTTCTTTTAAGTTGGGTTGTTGTTGTTGTTTTTTGTAGTTCTGCAAACTTTCGTGTTCCTCCAATCCCCTTGTGTAGTTTTGGCTGCATGAGCTAAATGAGCTCACTATCAGTATACAGGATTACTATTGCAGCAAAAATGGTGATCAGCACAATATGTCTGTAAATCTTTAGATGATGCCCACTTCGTTCCATCTGTGCATGAGTTATATCACAGATGTCTCAGACATAAAGGCTGCTCTTCTCTTGACGTGGAAAACACTTCATTTGCTTTCAGTTCCAATTTCCAGCAGTAGACATTCCTGCTTCCCTGTTGCCCCCCAAAGTCAGTCCTGAGTGCTGGGGGACCCAGTGGTGGTCAGAGCTGATGGGAGCTGCCCTTGTAGGTTGGCAAGAACCTGCAGCAGCAGCAAAGGGACAATGGAGGACCCTCCTTTGCTTAAGCTGCTCACACAACAGCATATAAATAATAGCACAAAATATACACATAGATATGATGAGCCCCTTCACATTTCTTTGTTACTCTATATGCTAGGAAACCGCTGACTAGCTTCAGCTTTTGTTAAATGTATATTTATTTATCTATCTATCTATCACATTTGCACCTTATCCTTCCTTCACTGAGCACAGAGCAGGGTCCACAATGTTAGCCAATTTTATCTTTGCCACAGTCTTGTGAAGTAAGCTGGACTGAGAGATAGTTGAGGTGCGCAAATGAGTTCTCTGAGTGAGCAAGGATTTGAGCCTTGTCTTCCTAGTCCAATACTGTGTGTGTGTGTGTGTGTGTGTGTGTGTGTGTGTGTGTACACTGTAAAAACACACACATGTGGAATCAGTACACGGGGATCGCCTGCTAACCGCTCGGATCTCCTGCTCTGACTGCAGCTAGCCGAAATGCTTTCCTTGTGGGAAGGTTGCAATGCGCACAAACATCCAAGCCTAACTTCCAGGTTGTTTGTCAACCTGGTGCCCTCCAGTGTGATCCAAAACATTGGGAGGCCAGCACCTTGATGAATTGCTGGCACTCCTCTGCTTCTGTTTCAGCTGAACCATGATCACAAAATGGTCAGGTTTAAACAGGGGAAAGCTTATGTGGATATCACACCTGGAGGGGTTATATCATAGCTGACTCTTGACAGTAGTCAGAGCAGCTTGAATTGTCAACTGATTAAATAGAAATACATTTATGTATTGCAGAATGCCATTGAGGGTTGAAGATCCTGAGAGGAATAGCTACAAGAAAGCTCACAACTTGATAAGCAAAAGCTACCACTTGTTGTTAATTTATCTATTTCATAACATTTATACACCGTCTGATTGTAAAAATAATAATCCTCAAAGCATTTTACAAAAAGATAAAATAATATTTTAAAAAAATACGAGACTTTAAAACATACAAAGAGTTAAAATACTAAAACACATTAAAATCAGGATTTCTAAGCATCTGGATAAGCTTGCCTAAACGAGAATGTTTTTAAGAGGGATGTTTTAAATATTTTCTTTTTTCATAACTCTGGAAATAGGGGATTTTAAAATATTCCTCACTAAAGAGTGCATCAGAGGCAAAATAAAAAACCCCAAACATAAACAAAGTTCCAGGCCCATCAGTTCTGCAGGCAATCCTGGTTTGAAAGGTGTATTTGTATTAATTTCAGCAGAACACTGCTTCAACTATTTATTCTTGTTAAAAGAGAAATCATATCAATCTCATTCAAAATACATAAACGGGAAAGAAAAGCCATTCTTGAGTTTCTTTATCATAGCATTTGTCATAGAGAAGAGGAAGCTGGCTCAGAACAAACTGCGCTCCAGGAGTACTTCGTCTTTGCTTATTATAATCCCTAATATTTAATTGGGGAATGTTAAAAAAAAAAACCCCTGCAATTAAAGCTTCACTTTAGGAATCAATTAGGCAATCAAAGCTTTATTAATTTTACATGTATTAAATGACAGTACTTTCTTTGGAAGAAATCTACAACAATGTATATATTATTCTTTTAAACGTTTAAAGGCATTTAGTCAAATCAGGGTTAGTCTCCAAATACATTAAATTATTGTTTTGAGCTCTGAAATGAGTTTGAACGTATACCTCATACTAATGTTTAACAGCACAATCCTAACCATGTCTACTTAGAAGTAAGTCCTATTGAATTCTGCAGGGCTTACTCCCATGTAAACGGGGTTAGGATTGCAGCATTAATGCCAGTGGCACAATCTGTATCGGTTCCATGACACTTGTTCAGTCATTATTCCCTCTCTATAACGTCCAGGAAGCAGGATCGGAACAAAAACAGGCGCAATCTGACCAAATGTCCTTCAGCATCTTCTCTCAGATCCCCTCCAGCAAATCTAACTGGTTCCTCCTCCTCGGAAGGAACAAAGTGGTTCTTTTGGTAGAGACTGGCTTCAATTCAAAACGAATTTTATATAGAGATGGGGAAAATATGTGACTCTGCAGATGCTTTTGGACTTCCTCCAAGCCAGGGGTAATGGGATTTGTAGTCCATCTATATCTGGAGGACCACAGGTTCTCCAGTTCTGGTGCAATGGAAATCTCAGAGCTTATAGGGGAAAGACCACCGGACACCAGCGGCTAATTAGACCTCCTCCGTGTGCATCTTCTTGTAAAAGTATCAAGAGTCTCTATGAAGTTAGAGATGGTGGATGACCCACTCCTTTCTAGAATTCAGCCTGTTTGTTCTCATGAGCCCCTGGTGAGAGCTGCCACCAACACCTTCAGGGGCTTAGCTTCGGGAGGAGAAAGACGCGTGCTGGTTCCAAGGTCCGAAATATTTAAATATATTTAGATTGTGGTTCAAACTCACAGGGGCAGCATCCTCTGAAGTCCTGCCAAGGTGAAATTTAAACCAATCTAAACTGATTCGATTTCACTGACTCCGCCAAACCAAATCATCTTATAGTATTTTAAAATGGGCGGTGGATTTCGGGTTACTTAAGAGCCAAATTATTAATAGTCAAAACGTTATTATTTCATCTTGTTGTATTTAGCGTCATGTGCTGGAGAGACGATTGAAAACATCGATTCCCTGGCTCCCTCCAACCAACGCCTTAAAAGTATACAAACTCGTCCTATCTTAATCCGGAATTAGAAAATCGGATTTCACAAATATTCCGCACCAAGGAGTATTCAAGACACCGGGGAAAGTGGGCGGGGGAGCGGCAATTTAACTTATGCTGGGAAAGGAAACTCGCAAGTCATGGGCAGGCGGATCCACGCATGTTTACAGTAAGCCCCACGGAGTCAAGGGGCTCGAGGAGACAATCCCAAACACGCTCCTTTGCAAGAACGGCCACCGCTTCCGTGGAACTTGCTGCCAAGTAGATGCGTTTAGGATCGCACGCAATGATTTTGCACCTTGGCATCAGCATCTCGCGGTGCTCTGATTGTTTCGTTAGAGGGAAGATGCGCTGCATCCAACGGAGCTCATGACACCAACCTAATAACCTCGACTTTTGCATACTCTGAAATAAGCCCGACGGATTTTTTACTGGGGCTTTTTCACTTAGTAAAGTGTGCGGAGGATTGTCCCGCAAGGCACGCCAGGAATTAAGGACTTACCTCCCGAGTAACCGAGACCTCACGACTAGCGGAATTCCTGGCATTTCTCGGGTGCCCCTGAGAACATGGTTCCTGTTCCCACAAACATTGACACGCGGTTCCAAGACGTTCTCACGTTTCCCTACATTACACTGAGCGCCGATGGGGTGCACATTTGGTTTGCAACTTCGGCTCACGTGAACAAGGCTTCTAAATTCTAATTGTTAATTTAAAAAAAATAATGTGTCGATTCTAATTGCAAATTCGTTTCCTAGCGATACTTCAAACGCCTCCCGTTGGTTAAAAGGTCGATATTATAGACTTTCCCACTGCATTTTAGCAATAATTTTGGGATGACACATACAACTGGTTTGGAGTAGGGGGTGCGATCAGGCGGACGATAGGATTCTGGAGGAAAATTAACTCCCTGTCCTGTGTAATCTCGAACTATTCCCTGCTATTTCACACCCGTGTATAAAACTGCAAAGCAACTCGATTTCCCCTGCCCGATCAGCTGAACTGTCCACGCAATCCTATATTTGTGTGGTCAGAAGCAAGACCTGCTGCGTTCCGTGGTACTTATCCCGAAGTAAATGGGTCCAGGATTGCAGCGAAGCCCGTGAACCAGCAAAAACTCTGAACCACGGTGCCACGATTTACCTCTACGGTGCCCTTTTCTTGCAAACTCGGAGCAACAGGACAAGCCTCGCTCCTCATCCTCCGGTCTACCTTTCACACGATCCGAAGAATCCACTACCCTGTTTGGGCTTCGAGTCTGCTCGGGTATCTCTGACCTTAGGAAGCCTCTTTCGGTGGCATCTTATCCTCTGCCAACTAGTCGCAAATAAGCGAAGCAAATTAATTAGCAGGGCTTCATTTGAGTTCATCCTGCAGAGGGTAGACTCCTGTTTCGTACATATTCATACGACTTATTTCCGGGTGGACAATTCTATCGACTTATTTCCGAATTCATGTTGAGCAGGACTGAGCCCTCCGCGCGAGTACTACGGGCAACACCTTAAAGTAACGGAAACGTTTTACCGTCTGCCCTTGCACTGAAACAACACGCCATCCTGAAGAGCATTCAGCACGTCCACTAAATAAAAAGTGCACATTTTAAAGGAAACGGTAAGTCGCAGTTAAAAATCAGAATTCCATGCCAGACTTGAATTTAAAAATTATGGTGCACCTTGTCTCCCCCCTTAAATTCACAATAATAATAAATTAATTTACTACTAGTAGTAGTGTCCAAGCACAGAACAATAGAAGGACAAGACGCAGCTCCCCGCCTCGAGGAACTTACACTTCGAAATCTCACAAATTTCTACAGTGAGGAAAACAAGAAAGGGCCAAGAAGGGCAACGGGGTGAATCACTGATGACCCTGGAAAACTCTTCTCACATGTTGCATTTCGTTCGCTATATACTTTTAAGCAAGGCAAAGCAGGAAAAATCCCTCGATATTCCCGAGGTTGTCATTATCACACCAAGGGGAAGCAAATTACACAACTTTGGACCAAAGCATCACTACTGCTATGCAACCCGCCGCCTGCCAATATATGTGTGTGACAGATAAACACACACACTGCCTTGTAACTATAGGAATTGTTTCTGAGACTGCAGTGTTACAAAAATGTCAATATTATCGGTGGGGTAATCATTTAGTCATGTACGATTTCTTAATCAAATAAAACACAGCAAAGCAAGCACCTGTCTTATCTAGTGGTTAAAGAAGCGACTGTCAGTGCAAAACACACACACAGATCTAAAGCACTTAAGCGCTTGCAAACAAAACAAAGAAGAAACGAAGAGCAGCTTTAATAAATCAAACAGGAAAAGGATAGAAATCAAATCCTCTCCCCTTACCCACCCACCCCCATGAGCTACGGGAGAAGGCTGAACCGCGCCTGCCTTGGAGGCGACCCGAGCGCATCTCCTAACCCCAAAGCAGGCGCAGCGCAGGAGCTTCCAGCCGCAGAGCGCGCGCTCCCCGAGCTGCCACACACACACACCATGCTCGCAACGGAGCCCCTTATTATAAGCAGCTGAGTACAGATTTGCGCCTCCAAAAGCGGGACAACACTCCCCCCCCTCCATTTGCAGCAGCAGAGGGAAGAAGTCCACGTTGCTAGTCCTCAAGGAGGTGGCCAGGCCAGGCTGCACTTCGGAGCGGCCTTCGCTGCAGCGGAGGCTGCGGCGCGGAGCAGGTCCCTTCCCTTCCCCGCCCCGGTCTCCCGCACCCGCGGGCGCCCTCCTTCTCCCCCTCTGCCCCGCGGCGCTTACCCCAAACTCTTGAGCGCAGCCGGCGGGCCAAGCTCACCAAAGTCCTTCTCGGCACATGGGAGTCAAAGGGCAGCCTGGCTCGAGGGAAGAGAGGAAGAAGAGCCAGAAGGGGAGGGAAGAAGGGGGAAAGGCAGAAGTCCTGTTATTCTCTCTCTCTCTTCCCCCCTCCCCCTAAAAAATATTTAATAATAAGAATAACGACGACAATAATAATAATAAGGATAAAATAAAAAAGAACGCTTAAAAAAAGGGTGGGAAATCTGTCCGGTGTGGAAGTTTAATGGCGCTTGGTAACGTGGGGCTCCCAGAGAGAGGGAGAGAGACCAGGGTCTCCCCCTCAGCCATCGCCGCTGTCACGTCGGATGAGCAAGGCCTGGCTGAACCCGCCAAGTTAGCGCCGGGGGAGAGGCTGGGCCCCGGCCAAGCCACGCCTCTCCGCCGGCCCAAGCGCGGCCCTTGGGGGCGCGGGGCGGGCGAGGCGTCGCTCGGCAGGACTAGGCCTCGATGGCTCCCGCCAAAGAGGAGCAGGCCCGCGGTTTCAGGGCTGCGTCTGGAGCAGGAGGCAAGGGAGGGCTAGGTTTCGTGTCTGTGAGGGGAAGGGATTCCGCGGTTTTAAGTTTTTCTGTAGGTTTATTTCATTTTATAGCATTTATTTATTGAGCTAGTTATTGCATTTCTGTGGGGTGTTTATGGAAGGTTGTGGGACCTCTGGTGTGGGGCCACCTGCAGAGGTAGTTTGCCCACCTTTTGGTGCCCCCTCTGCCACTTGGCTGTCACCTGTGGCTCCTAGAAGCTGTCAGCATGTAACACTCTGGAAAGCGGCTTTGGCTGGGTGGCTAAACCAGGTCTCAAAACCCTCAGGGGGTTAGGGACTTCCCCTGTGTGTGGCTCTGGTGGATTGAGCGGATGAGACCAATGGCGGGTCTCATAGTCAAGAAGGCGGTTTTTGCGCATTCTGTAGGGAAGTGAGGGGGAGATGGGCCTTGTCCACCTGGGAATCCAAGGAGAAGGAAAACTCTGACCCTAAACCTCCGCTGCTTCTTTGGGAGAAGAAAAATCTAAGTAGCAAACCCTACACAAATCCAGAGTGGAGTCCCTAAGGCGGTTGGATGGCACCTTGTACGCCTCCTTCTAGCAATTCCACCAGCCAAGCTGGTGCCAAGCCCATTGTTCTGCTTTCCTTCGGACCACATCGGTGAGAATGAGACTTTACCCTTGGAGGCACACTCCCTTGTCTCTCGAGACAGATGGATGTCGACAATACATTTCTATACTGCCCAATATCCAAGGATCACAGGGCGGTTTACGATCTAAAAGCACAAAAAAATATAACATAGTAACAAACAATAATAATACTAACCCCCCAGTTTAAAAGGCCATAGACCAGGCACCCCCAAATTCAGTCCTCTAGATGTTTTGGGACTACAACTCCCACCATCCCTAGCTAACAGTACCAGTGGTCAGAGATGATGGGAATTGTAGTCCCAAAACATCTGGAGAGCTGAGTTTGGGGATGCCTGCCATAGACTGTTTAATTAGCCAGAGGCCTGGGAGAAGAGGGATGTTTTTCACCGGCACTGAAAGCTATGCAGCAAAGGCACCAGGCAAGTCTCCTTGGGGAGAGCATGCTGCAAGCGGGGAGCCACCACAGAAAAGACCTGGTAAGGGAGTCCACCCTAAGCAGTTCATTCCCAGGTGGGGATTAAATAACAAGTGAGGCCAATGATATGAGAATCAAGGTATGCCTTTATTTCTCTGTGGGCACTTCAGGAACTGGAGATCTCCCTGCCCCCAACACAGCATAAAGTTTTTATATATGTTTCAAACAAAGAGCTTTAAGCTAAGCTAACTGATTACAATATGCTGCAACATGACTCTGCATATTATAGTCATGTCTAATTATAAACACTACACACTTGTCTAGTTTAGTTATCTGGCTTTTTTGTTACTTTTCCTTTCATTACACTTTGCTTCTTGCTATATCTCTTAGCGACCCCTTGCTTTTATCCAGCTCTCCCATTCATCTTGTGAATGTCAAGTCATATAAACAGCGGCAGGCATTCTACACGCCCTGACTTCTTTTCCTTCCATAGAATTGTTAGTTGTATGGGACCCTGAGGGTCATCTAGTCCAACCCCCTGCAATGCAATGTTTAAATTTAGAGCGCGGTTTCAAAACTATTCCTCCACAGCCCCATTCCCATGTTGCTACCCTCCAGACCTCTTGTGCAAGATGCACACAAAGAAGGACCATAGTGGATGATCTCATAGTCCGGGTAGGTTCATATGGGGAGAGGCGGTCCTTGAGGTATTGTGATGCTGAGCTGTTTGACCTCTGATCTAGATGCTGCTAGATTGGGAGGCACAAATGACCCTGGATATATTCTACAGAGACATGTGCTCCCCTGTCTGCTCCTGCTTCTGAGAGTGTCCCTCGAGATAAGGTAATAAGGCAGGAGCCAGATTCTCAACCCCTGCCTTGTATCTGGTGGGGTTTCTTTGGTCACAAGGGCCTTTTGTATGTTGCTGGACAGTCTTCAATACATCACCTTCCACAGCATGCCCTCTGATGAAATATCTCACTTCCGTCTTGTGGAATGAAGACCCAAAAGAGAGTTTAACCACAGTGGTGGTTTCTTTATGTAGGTGGGGAAAACCGTTAGTCAACATGAGGGTGTCTGGACAGGGTTGGGAAGGTGAGGAGAAGTGAATCAGAACCTTGCCAGAAGTAGTACTGAAGAGGGGAGTACGAGTCACACCTCAATCCCAACTTTTTCCAGAGTGTATTGAGTTCCCAGTCATGGATGGCATTTGATGTCCAGCTTTGGGTGTGTTCTCGTAAGCCCCCTCTGTTCAGTGAGTCTTCATCCCTAGTGTGTTTGACACTGAAGCCTATGGCTTTTGGAATGAATATAGATTGCGAATGGTGCTCATAAACAGCAGGTGGCAGTATGACAATTCAAAACACTTAGGCCGTGTTCTAAAAGTCAGAATCAAGCCAATAGTTGGAAGAGAAACATAGCCAGATGTTTAAAGAAGTATGATGTTATAATTTTGAAGTGGGAAAAGACTTGGTAAAACTACATGTGTTAATCTGTTGCCAAATAAATAAGTGAATAAGTTGTGGTTATGATTGATTTGGGTTGTCAGACTACCCCACCTACAAATTGCAAACAATTTCTTTTACAAATGCAGACAAAGTTCAACTGTTGAGAAAGACATAGAGAAGGGGAATAATAAGAACTTTTCCATATTATTAATTTTAGTGCAATAATTGTACAGTTTTAACTCAATTGATTCTCTCTCCCCTCTTTTAAAATGATAGGATCGAGGGAGGGATATCACATTACCCATGCCTCACATAGTTTGGGGTGATATTTCATCAGTTTCACCCTAACATGGACAGCTATTACAATTGTCAATACTGTCTTTTGGCTAGAAATAGTTAACAGTGGTGCTAATTGATATTTGTGTAGCATGTTGAAGGCATTTCACATGCATGAAGACCATGCAAAAGGATCATTTTAAAAAAAATTGTTCAAGGCACACTATGTAGTCTTTGTGGATAACTAAGCAGAGCATAGGCATAGCAAGTTTGGGTGGTTTCTGCAAGTTTACATAAGATGTTTGTACAGAATGAAATCTGATATTTGAAACAAGAGGTGGCAAGTCAGCTCAGTGCAACTCACTAAGGGCTGTGAGAATCTTGAGATTCAGTTTCCTTTTTTTTAAAGCAACTTTCTGTTCCTTGTGATTGTGGCAGCAAAGTGTAATGATTGCATGTTTGAAAGGTTCAAACAAAAAGTCCTGTTTCAAATGTCACAGATTCTAAGTGTCAATATATTCTTATCATGAATAAATATTGCAGCTGTTGTTGCATGCCACCCCAGTGGTGCGAGATTCCAGGGGTTCCAGGCGTTCACCCAGGGATTGTGTTTCCTTTAGGAAATGAAACAGTGAAGACTGTGGTGTCTTTATGATATATGGTTTATTTACACATATATACAACCTGAGCCTATGATTGAGAGGTTCACAGCATCAGCACCCCAAAAGAGTCTTGTTTCTCCTGTAGCCCCAGCCTTGGGTTAAAACAGAAATCAGCCACCGTACTTGGACCCTCTCTCTTTAGCAACTTGCAACCTTTTTTCCTATAGGTCACACCACAGCCAACCCTAAAGACTCTGCTTCAAACTCTCGCGTTGTCTTCTAACTTATAGCTGGCCGCCACCTCTTTTTCTAAATGGCCCATCATCTTTCCCTTTGTTCTTTCTTAATGGCTCATCTCCCAGGCGATTACTTCAAGAGGAAGCCAGCATCGATCCAGGGGTTCAGGAGGCTTGATTAATTTCTAAAACTTACTGGGTCCAGGACTTTATGGGAGTCTTGCGCTTAGTTCTTGGCATCTCCAGTTTAAAATTACTTAGGGGGCAGGGAAGGGAAAGCCTAAGCACCTGGAGAACTTCTCCCCGACAGAGTAGATGATACAAGACTAAATGGAGCATTGGTCTAACTCTGTATAAAGGTCACAAGCCAAGTTCCAAGGTGTGTTCTGGTCACTCCTCTGATTGTAGGTCAGATTATGTGGGTATTTTGAGTGGGTGTTTTTGAGGGTGTTGTTTAAGGCGGCATTTCAGCAGAATTTAGCTTATAGCAACTGGGGCAGCTCAAATATTTGGTTGCATGCCCTTGCCAGTTCCATTGATCCATATTTCCCCAGTACTTAACCCCTGGTGTGCTATACATGCTGATCAAGAAAGTCCCTGTGAAGGTCACATAACTTAACAGTTTATGTGATACTGAGGCACAGTGAGGCAGGGTTAGGGGATAAACATGCCCTATGATACCTTTTCTGTGCTTTAAATACTTAAAAAATGAAGGCAAAGCCCACTGATCCACCCACCCCAGCAAATTTTTCGAGCCCCTCAAGACCTTGCTGGGGTGTACAAAGCCCAAAACTCTGAAGGGAATGTCAACTGCTCACTCCTCAGTCATCATTTGATGAGCAAAAGGCAGCATTGGCCATGCACCAGCTGAGCAGAGGGCCTGTGTGTGAGAATATGCACGAGATAGTATGGGGTGACCACATCTGTCTCTTGTAATAATGAGAGTGTTTAAGCAATTCGTTTGAACTATTTACAAAACTAGTGACCTATTTATAAATTTGAAATGTCCATATTTGCAGGCGTTTTGCACTGTTACAAGTGGCACTATATTTTCCACTCACTTTTGGTATAAACATAGCGTACCCACAAACACTTCAAGTAACAAAACTTAAGGCTTGACAAATGTGATTTATTTTGAGTACAGGATAAGTAGGAAAAAGGTGTCATTCATACAAATAATATATTTTGTAATACTGACCATTGAATAGCAGAATGTTCTTTTGGCAGTCAATCATTCAATTACGCATTCAACAAGCAGAAGCATGAAAACACACCAAAGTTCCTGTTTGTCATAGTTGGATTAAGGATGTTCTCAGGGAGACAGAATTACTTGTTCTAGCTAATCCTGATATATCTTTGTGCTTTCCTGAAACTGCTCATAATAGCAGTACAATAATTTCTTCCAAAACGGTGTCACTTTTATATATATATATATATATATATATATATATATATATATATATATTTTCAGAACTTTTTAAAGGACAGAATTGGCTTTCTTCCTACATCAAGTGAAAGGCACATTTTAAATAGTAACAAAGTAGTGGCAGAACTCAACTATAGTTTCTCCACAATTTATTCACATAGGCAGCTCTTATGTGGTATGCCCAGTTCTATTGCCACCAAATTAATAAAAACCAAGAATATTATAGAACATTAAAGACTAACAGACTTATCATACCACAGGTTTTCACGGACTAGAGTCCATTTCATCAGAGGCATGGAACTGTGTGCATCTGAAGCACACTCTAGTCCACCAAAACTTATACCGAGTGTGGTGATCAAAACTGTTACCGAGCAATTTGATGGCATTTACATCTTAACAAAGGGAAATGCATATTAAATATATTATTTTTAGAGCTTCAAGTCCCATTAAACCCTGGTAAGGATTATGTAAGGCAGTCAGGGTTTGCACAGCATGTTCAAGAGTGGCGGTTTGCAGACTTAACATGGCTAAACTGTGGTTTAGTGTGCTGTGTAAGAGCAAATGAGAAAAACTCTCCTGTATCAGACTAAAGGCTTATGTAGCCCTGCATGTCCCACTGTTCCCCCACAAATGGTATTCAGAGGGGCAGGCTGCCTCTGATTATGGAAGTGAGTGAGCCTTGAGTTTGCTCTCCTTCTCTGGAAGGAAATTGGAAGCATTCAGTATTGTTTTCAACTAACCATGGTCTGTTGTTAAATTTAGACTGGGACAAACTGTGGTTGGTTTTAACTATGGTTTGTCTAAACATGCCAACTTCAAACCATGATTTATCTGAATAAACCAGGTTTGTAAATCGTAGCTAAAACTAACTGCAGTAAGTTGAGGGGGTAAAGTAATTAGGGAAATAATTGTTACTCGAGTCCTGAGAATAAAACATCTGATAAAGAATCATGATGTTTGAGGCTGTGCGCTCTTCTCGCCCAAAGGAGCAAAAAAAGAGCTGTTTAATCATCAAAATACTAGCCTTTTGCACAATTGTAACTAGATGTATTTGGGTATTATCAGCCTGTACTGACAAAAGAATTCCTGAACTGTGGGTTAAATAAGATGGACTCCCACTATTTAGAAGGTGTGTAATTTACTATAGTTTAATTAAAAACAGATGAGCTTTTAAGCAATGCAAAACAGATACATGACATACAAACATCTAATGATTGGGCAGTGGCTTCTTGGGCTGAGACTTCTTCATGCAAGACTTTAGTATCAAATAAGACAATTCAAGTACATTTAGGAGCATGCAAATGCCTGACACAGCCAGCATGAAAATAGTAAATACAGTTTTCTCAGTGGGACGAGAAATAAAGCAATCTACTGTATTTGGGCAGGGAAAATCAGTGCATTTCACTACACGAGGCATACGGTACCCATCGTACATGTGATAAAATATGTACATGAAAGTCGCTTCGAAGATAATTCGGAAGAAGAGGCTGCTGGTGTATGTCCACCATAAGGGTCCTTCGATGTGGAACTTCTGGGTTTTCAGACTTTCAAGGTCAATTTTCTCCCCATGTCGGTATTTCCGTTTCTTCTCGTGCCTTCTGTAGGCAACATGCATTGCCACCAGAAGGGCAGGGGTAGACACAAAGATAAGCTGGAGAGCCCAAAGTCTAATATGAGAAACTGGGAAATAATCATCATAGCAGGTATTTTTGCACCCAGGTTGTAGAGTGTTACAAGTGAAATCCGACTGTTCGTCTCCCCAGACGTTTTCTGCAGCCACCACAAGGATCATGACACGGAAAATGAAGAGGACAGTGAGCCATATCTTCCCAATGCTGGTTGAGTGTTTGTTTACACCTCCTAAAATGGATTGGAGGGTTCCCCACATGGTGGCTTGTCTGTTCTTTAACCTATTAAGACAAAGAAAAAAGAAAAAGCCAAATGATTAATTATTCTATTCCTTCACAAATGAGGAAGTTCTCTGCTGCTAGTACAGAAAAGTTGTAAGCAGACGGGCAGAACAATTCTGAGATGTTTTGGCTTCTTTCTCTCCCACCCATTCTGGAAAATGAATGTTAAAACTTGATATACATCTATCCATTCAAAGGAGCACAGTGACATTAAAACACTGACATAATTAAAGGGGTGGTTAAACCAGAGTTCCTTATGCAGAGACTTCTTTTGGCATGGGACTACGTTGATGATACACAGTGAGTTTATACAACTAGGATTCACATATAAATGAAGCCCATATATTAGCTCCAGCATATTCTTCTGTTCTGCCCTTATAGAAATAGCCTTTAAAGGAGGTGCTGTTAAAGGCTGGTTAGGTTATAATTAAACTAAAAACACTGGCATTTTTTCACTTTTCCAAATGCCATCCTATGGCAACTTTAGTTTACAAGATGACTTCAGATGTATGTACAGAAAGCCCGCTACTTGTGTGCATTTAACTTGTGTGCATGCAGGGGAAGAGAGGGGAAGGGAGTGGGAACACCTGTGGTCACTGCAATTCATTAAACTAAACTATGGTTTGACATTATATCTGAACTGGGTCAGCAGGGAGAGGTGCAGCTATTTGGCAATGGAAGTTATTGTTATCATTTTTAAAAAAACCAATTTGTGGAGATGCTCCATTGTGGGAAACTTACACAAAGGTAATGGAGAAATACGTGTTCCAAGATACTACATTTTAATGGCATGAAAGAATCTTGCTGTAACTGCAATCGCTGTATCATCACTTAAAGGTAAAGGTACCCCTGCCTGTACGGGCCAGTCTTGACAGACTCTAGGGTTGTGCGCCCATCTCACTCAAGAGGCCGAGGGCCAGCGCTGTCCGCAGACACTTCCGGGTCACGTGGCCAGGGTGATAAAGCAGCATCTGGCGAGACTGCGCAGCACACGGAAACGCTGTTTACCTTCCCGCCAGTAAGCGGTCCCTATTTATCTACTTGCACCCGGGGGTGCTTTCGAACTGCTAGGTTGGCAGGCGCTGGGACCGAGCAATGGGAGCGCACCCCGCCGCGGGGATTCGAACCACCGACCTTTCGATCGGCAAGCCCTAGGCGCTGAGGCTTTTACCCACAGCGCCACCCGCGTCCCTGTATCATCACTTATCAACCATTAATTACCATTCTCTGCTATTAGCGCAGATCTACACCACAGATGTAAACAGATTTAGTAATCATCCTCCGCCCTCAGAAAACCCAAGAAACTTAAGCTGTGATGGGGAGTAGGGGGTGTCAAGATATGTAACAGTACCGTCAACAAACCTTGATTGCCAAGATTCATTGATGGAAGAACCCCAAGCAGCAGCAGGAGAGGAGTAGCCAGAACAATGGCAAAACAGGTAAAACTTCTGCCACCAGCTCCCTGCTTTGCTTGGCTTTGCTTCCCCCTGAAGGAAGGTGAGAGGTGCCAGTCCATCCCGGAAGACCCTGGACCCACTTGCCTTTAATTTGCAGGAAGCAACCTGCCTTCTGGGTGGAGTGAGCACCTTGAACTGGGCCCAGAAATGAACTGGTAACTAGTGGGGGAGTTGACTCCATGTGAATTGTCATTTGGGCTAGGGAAGAGGGTTGAGTTTTTGTCTATCTGCTGATTAGTGGTTGGGAGTATTGCCTTGTTTTTTTGTTTCAATATTGCAAATGGTTTTTTATTGCTATGTAGGGGGCTGGTTTGTTGTTTTTGTTTTCCCACATGTTGAATGAAATATTAGCATATTATATGATTTCCCCTTTTTTATCGTATGACGTATTTGCACATCTTTTTCTTTAATATTAGTTGCTTGGAGACCTTTGGGTGACAGGCAACTAATCAGCTAAAATATTTATTAATCTGGGTTTTTTATATTAAAAAAACACAACCTGATATAATTTTATAGTTAGATATGCCTGTCAAACAACAACTTTGGGTTCATTTCTGGTGACCCTCAATTCTAATTTTTGTTGATATTGCTAATTAAGGTCAAACTCATTTTTAATCTTCATTTTCATTGGAGATGCCTGCATGCTGGTTTTGGCAGTTCACAAATAGAAATAAATCCAAATGTGTGTGTCCAATTATGCAGCTTTCCTATTCTAAGAGTGTGTTGGCATAGTACTATACAAACAAATAATGTGGTTTAGTAAAGCCTTAACAAGCAAGGCCAAGCTGACTTACAAGAAGACAGAACTCCAACATGTTATAACATAACCCTTGACATGGTAGCTTTCATTACACCCACTAACCCTAAGAAAAAAGTCGATAGATTTTGCTGATGTAATGAGGAGTTGCAGAATCAAGATGAAAAGATGGATAAAATTACTGGTATTTCTTTTCCTACTAATCACCCTCCTCCCTGTAGGATTTGATTTGAAAGCTGCACAGATTTATTTCTTTAAAATAAATCATTTATATGTTTTCCAATAACCAAGGTCTTGGGTTTTCCTATAACCAAGTTCAATAAGAAACCACACCAAACTCTGTGACCACAAATCAAATACACTTCTGCTAACCATTAAACAAGATGAAGACTTTCACCCCTATTAATTCAATTCAAACAAAGCATTCAACCAAAAGAAAACAGGATAAATATCAAGTGTTTTGCTCTTCTATTATATAGATGAGTGGTTCCTAATTGGTGGTCCGTGGACCCGAGGGAATCTGCACCCCATTCACATAGCAAAAACTACCATAGAGGTATCAGCATTTTCAAAGGAAGGGGGTCCATGTCTTGCCTTTGGAAAAACAGGGAGTCCACAGGACTTAGCTAACTGGAAACCACTGATATTTTTTGCCAGTATTGCAAAATGTGAACTGACACAACGAATTCCATCTATAGTGTAAGCCTAATGTGTAACTGATGTAGACTCTTAAGGTTGCATTCAACTGAGACAAGACTAAGTTGGGTAGACCCATTGAAAATAATGAGCCTATGTTAATCATGCCCATTAATTTGAATGGCTCTGCTTTGAGTAGGGCTAACATTGGATAGAACTCTTGCCTATGAAGATTAAGGTTGCAATCCTGTATAAATTCACATGAGATTAAACATCATTGAGCTCGATTGCTTTTTAGTGAAATGCATAGGATTGCATTGTAAAGCAGCAGTCCTGCACATACTGGAAAATACTCATTTGACAGACACGGTCCTATGTATGTCTACTCAGAAGATACCTTTGAGTAAATCATTTTCTCAATTCATCTACTATTCTAGAAACCTCAAGGTAAAAGGTTAGGTATATTAATATTAATACTACTAATGAATATTGGATCTTAAAGGTGAAAAATTAATCGGGCAACTGCAGCATCCCTCATGCAGAATTCTGCATCTTACATGGATCAGTGTGAGTGAAGGTGCAAATGGTTATCCAGGACTCCACATCAAATCCATTTCTTCCTCCACTGTATGGAGAGGTTATATTGCAGATATTAAATATGTCATTCTTTCTGCATAAACTGTTAGATATCATTTTGAAATTACATCCCTGTATAAAATACAAATGGTTAGCATATGGAAATCACGGAATGTTTCTCTGCTTGCATCTCTCACCCTTTCTGTCTGCAGTGGTATTATTTCCACTGGAATAATATGGTGGGAGAAGATAATAGAAGAAAAACGCATGTAAACATGAGGATAGAATGGCATATGAAATATTAATGAAAATTTCAGCTATGAGGCTTTTTTAAACTGGAGAGATGTTTTATGTGTTTTGATTTCAGGGATCACTTACTTGCCCCAGGAGGAAGAAAAAATGGGCGTTCCTAGTTCCGTGAGAATTTTACAGGCATTTTCATGACTTAATATTAAGGGAAGTTGTTGAAGCATGTTAACGCTTTAGTCACCCAAGAAAGAAATCACAGATTGTATTGAAGAGAGCTATTGAGAAGTAATATATCCCAAACATTCACTGAATAGTGAATGAAAGCAGTTCTTAGTTACTTCAATGTGAAATGATTTCAGTGGGCCACCTCTGAATATGACAAACGTTTGGTTATCACACTTCATATTTAAGGTGCCACAGGATGTCTTGAAAAACTAGTCCTCCTTTTTTGTACAAAGGTCTCTTAGAAGATGAAAATAAGCATCTTACAGGACAAATCCTACCCTTTCCTCACATGTTACGATTGTATCAGAAGACCAAAGCTATTATTTTAAAATCAACATTACAAAAATCCCTGAGTTACATGGCTTGACCATGTTACTAACTTTGTATGATAATGTTTCACCATAATGGTGGGGCTGGACTTCACAGCTGGTTAGTAAAAGACAACATGTGGCTATTAACTCCCAGCTGTAAGTTGTAGACCTTGGCCTTAACATGATGGGTCTTTCAAGAGAAGACCTCTTTTTGCTGGCAGAACCGAAGCACTGGGAACCCAGCGAAGAATCTGGACTACAGCCAACATCCTGGCAAAAGAAAGATCGTAACATCTTGTGCATCTCAAAAACCGAATGGGGAAAAAAACATGTGTGGAGGGACTTGTTTCCCCAGTTTTGTCTGTATTTCTGCTTTATCTCTCACACACAAACAAACGCGCGGAGCGGTCAGACTCCGCATGGTATTCAGCCGCTCCTTTCACTTGAACCCCTCACAGAAATCCTGCAGAGCTGAAAGGGACCTCCAGGGTTATCTAGTCCAACCCCCCGCAATGCAGCAACCCTGCCCACAGCGAGACCGACCCCTTTCATACGTCCTATAAGCCTAGCAAGCCGAATACACCAAAGTCCGGACTCTGCTACCCTGCGAAACGCAACCTTCTGATTTCTCTTTAACGCGCACAGCGTTTTAACCCCATTCCCTCTCCACCCCATGGAAGTGCCAGGCGCGGACATTTCCATTCACTGGAGGCTTCATCTCAACCCAAATCTTCCCTTCCCGGCAAGGGGGGAGAAAGCATCGCCCCTGCAACAGCAGCAGCCCCATCACCTCGCTCAGCTCCGCGCGCGGGAGAAGAAACCGGTCCAGCTGCGTCCCCCCGCGGGGCTCCGTTCCGCTTCCTGGCGAGGTCCAGAGAGCGCCACTTGCTCGTAGGCTGCCTAGTTTCGTCGTCGCCGCCGCCTCGGCAGCTTTGAGGGAGGCTCCTTCCTGTTCTCGGGCAGATGCTCTTTAGCGACGCCTTCGGCAGGCGCGGCTGCAAGGAAAGAGGCGGGAAGAGCCCGTGTGGACAAGGCGGGGGGAGGCGCCACCGTCGAAGAAATGGTTGCGACGCGGCCCCTTCCCGCCCTCCGACGACGCCTCCGCAGCGCTTTCACTTCTTCCCCTTCGCTTCTTGCCAGGGCTCCTGCGTTGGCAACAGCAGCACGGCAGGTAGAAATTCAACATGTCATGGGCTTGTTGTTGTTTAGTCGTTTAGTCGTGTCTGACTCTTCGTGACTCCATGGACCAGAGCACGCCAGGCACTCCTGTCTTCTACTTTGGTCAAACTCATGTTCGTAGGTTCAAGAACACTGTCCAACCATCTTGTCCTCTGTCGTCCCCTTCTCCTTGTGCCCTCCATCTTTCCCAACATCAGGGTCTTTTCCAGGGAGTCTTCTCTTCTCATGAGGTGGCCAAAGTATTGGAAGCCTCAGCTTCACGATCTGTCCTTCCAGTGAGCACTCAGGGCTGATTTCCTTAAGAATGGAGAGGTTTGATCTTCTTGCAGTCCGTGGGACTCTCAAGAGTCTCCTCCAGCACCATAATTCAAAAGCATCAATTCTTCGGTGATCAGCCTTCTTTATGGTCCAGCTCTCACTTCCATACATCCCGACTGGGAAAACCATAGCTTTAACTATACTGTACGGATCTTTGTCGGCAAGGTGATGTCTCCGCTTTTTAAGATGCTGTCTAGGTTTGCCATTCAAATAGTGTTTGTGCGCACCGTGTTATGTGATTGATAATGTGGGGTGGACTTACCTGACACCCCTCCCCTCAATATTTTTATTCACCCTGGGGGGTGTAATAATGGGGAAAGCATCTACTGATGAAATTCCACTGCCTGCCTGTCACAGTGCTATTACAACCACGGTGGTAAGAGGTGGATTGAGGGGAGCACAACTGGTTTGGGTGCCAAGGATGCCAACTTGAATAAAATATGAGGGGGCAGGTCAGCCCCGCCACACACAATCAATCACATGACGCAGTGCGCACACATCATTAGAATGGCAATGTGCATCAACTGGCCTCCAATATTTTAATGGGGGTAGGGTGGGGAAGAGAAGGGACCTCAGCTCCTAGGAGTCAGGCTGGGTGCAGAGCCTCAGCGGGTGCTGCCAGGGTCAGGACGCCACAGCTACGCTTTAGAATGGAGCATGAGAGGTAGGGGGTGCTGAATCTTGGTGTTGCACAAGGTGCTGCTGAATTTTGAGACCCCAAGATCCGCCGTTGTTGGGGTGGATCAGGAGTGGTAGACCTTTGGCACCTTTGGCCCTGAACGACAACTGCCATTTTCTGGTTACAGAGGAAACATCAGAATAGGTACAGAATAAATGCTGCTGTTGTTGTTGGCATAGGTGCCACTTTCCAAAACGGCAATGAGAGTGCACTGGACGCAAAGCAAACTGGAGTGTGTACACACCCTCAGACGTTGGGAGGAATTTAATCAAGGACAGGGTGGTGGTTCATGAGTCGAGATGGCTGCCGTCTGCTGTGCATACATTTAGGGAAATGCTAGCACTTGGAAAGAGACCTGAATGGCTAGCCAATGAGACAATAAGGATGTTTAACTTTTCATAGACAAGTATTGGCTTCAATTGGTGTGCAACATGAAAGAAAGACTTCCATTGGTTGTCATATACAATCGATTTTTCTAGTCACATATGGGCACATACATTATGTGTGTGACTCCAAGGCACATTTAAACCTAGCATGAGAAAATACCCAAACTCAGGTTTAGACAGATTTTAGGCTTTCAGATTCCATTTTGTTTTGCTTTTTTTCTTCTAGGATCTTAAGGCCCACTAACCAGAGCCACATGCCAGATAGGGGCTGGTGGAGCAGAACCAGGTGTTAAATAGTGATTCAGGGGAGTCAGGAACCTTTGCTATTACCTACTGCAAAATATCCAGCAATTTACCAATAGAACTCAGTCCACCTTCTGTCCACCCCTCTCCTAAGTTGTTAGTCCTTATGATACATGTTGCACATGGATGATGCCACCTAAATGCAACACACACACATCTTGTATCAATTAGATACAAGTCGATCACATCAATATTAAAGGGTTTTCTTGTCAATACACTTCAAAGCAGTGTCGTTGAATGTGTGTGTTCACCAGTTTTGAAGCCATATTCAGCTACAAGTCTGGTTAGCTTTTCCACATGGAATGTGGGCACTGGGGCAAAGTACACATTAATGGACTAAAACAGGTCAAACCCCCCTCCCATGTCTTTCAAGTCACATTTGCATATTGCTGTACACAAAAGAGAAGGGGTAGATATATTTTCAGTCAATGTGTGTTACCTGTTTGGTTTCCGCTTGTCTGCTGCAGCCACCCCACCAACTCCTATTCATGAAATTGTCATTTATGCATGCTCTGCAATCTGCACATGTACAACAGCTGCTTCAAATGTGCACGTCTCATCTTAACTGCATTGCAACGTGTAATGCGGCTTATGGGATTTTTGCCAAGTTGAACAGAAACTGAGAGAATAATAGAGAGCTTCAAACAGTAACAGTCAGTATTTAACTTCTAAAACTAAAGAGGCTGAAGCTGTGTTTTCATTTATGGATTCCTTAACCCCCTCAATTGCACAAATTGGGGGGTTTTGTGTCTCCTGGGTACCCTGGTTGAAGCATGGGGAAAAAAGTTCCCGGGTAAGTAATGGTGAGTCCTGACACACATTACACCTCTGAAGCGCCCAGCTTCTCTTTCAATGTTAAATGAAGCTTTCTGGGTAAAAGGCTATAGTTGTCTCTATACTTAAAATGTCGCTCCTCACATGGTGTTCTGTTCAATATTATTCTGTGCCAAGCAATGAGGCACAGACACTACTGACACTGTCCTGATATCCTGCAGGAAATAAGTGAACAAAAAACCTCCAGCTAATACACAAAAACAAACAATGCTCATTTGTATCCTCCCTGCCACTGTCTCTTTCCAAAACAATAAGGATGCTACACCATAACCAGTCTCGCTTGCCTGAAGTGAGACCTCCAATCTTATCTCAAAAATGAAAGATTCCTAGCAAGTCCTGTGGAAGAAGGGGCTCCTGTCTGAGAAGAAATTGCCTTAAGGATCCTTTCTGTAATTATTCACTGGCAAAGAAGCCCTCTAGGATGTGCCCTTGTCAGGAAAAAATGAACATTACCACCACCACTATGGCCCATTGATGTGCTTTAGCACGATAAACTACACTGTTTGGTAAGACTCGAGTTCATTCCCCATCTACCACCAGTGTTTACAGCAAGAACACTGCAACTTAATTTTAAAATAGTAAAAGTAAATGCAGTATGCATTTCAGTGCTATGCAGCTTTAGAGCAAGTGGATAAAAAAATGGAATTTCATTATTTATTGGTGGATGAAAGGGTCAAAGTGCCTTTGTAAGAATTACTCAACTTTTCTGGCTCATTTGCTCCTAGTGTAGGGTATAGTTAGATTAAATCCAATTTTGTGCCTTTTCATTCTACTAATTTTTGATCCCCCATTGATTGGGTGCCACCTTCCTGTTGTGGTATGTTTTCAGAGTAAACAAACAAAGGCAACTAATGCAAACATGATAATGAGGCTTAACTATTGGGCATTTGCATTTTTAAATGCATCCCCTCTGATCGCTGCTTCCCATGTTACCAAATCCATAAATGGAAGTCATATTCAACTATAAAATTAATGGGCATGGGTGTGCACAGCACATTTCCTTAAGGTGTGCACCCATGGATGATGATAATGATGATGATGATTTATTTCAGTGAAGGAAGGCGGGAGGAATGACGAGACAAACAAATAAGGACAAGGAATAAGTAAAGGGGCAGAAAGGTAACAAAACAACCACAACTAGAGGGTAAAGAAGCCAAAACGAAATATTTTTCCTGCAGAGAGCCGACCCGAGGCATGGAAGACCCAGAGGGCCAAGGGTGGGGTGGCTCCTTCTCTTCCTTGCTTGAGCAACAGCAAAAACAGGTCCTCACTTTTATTGAAACCATTTTTATTAATAATGGGCATGCATGTTTTTAAGTCTCACAATAAAACCCCACTAGTAACCAAAGGGTGCAGTGAGACTTGCAAGTTGTGCTTTGTGCCTGCAATGTAGGCAACAATGTAGGGGTAAGTAATCGAGCAATGCATGCCAGCAGGAAGAGACTGCAGATTCTGAATATTGACATTATGAATCCAAAAAGGGTCTTCAGGGCAATTCCCATAACTTAGTTATTCCAACTATTTATTCATCATATTTGCCTGCAGATATGAGCAGCAGTTGGGACGCGGGTGGCGCTGTGGGTTAAACCACAGAGCCTAGGACTTGCCAATCAGAAGGTCAGCGGTTCGAATCCCCATGACGGGGTGAGCTCCCGTTGCTTGGTCCCTGTTCCTGCCAACCTAGCAGTTTGAAAGCATGTCAAAGTGCAAGTAGATAAATAGGTACCCCTCCGGCAGGAAGGTAAACAGCGTTTCCGTGTGCTGCTCTGGTTTGCCAGAAGCGGCTTAGTCATGCTGGCCACATGACCCGGAAGCTGTACACCGGCTCCCTTGGCCAATAAAGCGAGATGAGCGCCGCAACCCCAGAATCGGTCACGACTGGACCTAATGGTCAGGGGTCTCTTTACCTTTTATGAGCAGCATTGTTTTTGCTTTTTAAATTATCGGGCAACAGAGAAATAGAATCTTGAAGTTCAATTTGTAAGTGTGCTTGTAATTCCACAAGTCCCATGTGGCTAACCTAAGGAGGGTCTGTCATGTAGCCTTCTTAAGTGATTAACATAAAACTTGAGTATTTGCAAATAAGATAATATAAAATTGATTTTGTAATTGTAAGGCTACTTATAATAATTGGGGAAAACAAGGTTTGAGGGAAAACATCTCCATTTTCAACTCAACAGAACACGAGACGAGCCTTTCTCTACTTAAAATGTTTTGTGATTAAGAAATTCTATTTGCAGTGCATCAAGTTTTTCAGTAGCATACTTTACTTTCATTTACAAGTCATCATTCTT